ACTCACCACCTAGTTTCCTAAACAACTAGGTACAGGCGAAAATCCTGACCCCTTAGCTCACATTTGTTATTTCCATCAAGGGACGCCACCACACATTTAAGAATCAAAAAAATGGCGTGAGGAATCAGCTCGCAGCTTTAGGAAGCTTCTTGTGCAAAACCGCGACACCATAATCCGACGGAATATTGCACCAAATGGTGCAGTACCTTGCACTAGCGCCAAAACCGGCCATCTGGCCCTTTTTCTTTTTAGTTCATTTTATTTGTGTACTCACTTGTGATCGTGTTCAGCTGGTGAACCACCTCGTCCGGTGGCCACCCCACCTGTTCTGACCGTGAAACGAGGCCAACCTGCACAATTCCACTGTGATGCCAATTCGCCGACGCCTGCTCAAATCAAATGGGGTCACGGTGATGCCGATTCTGACCTGCCTGAAGGTGTCAGTCACGTCGTCGACGACATCGTGATTGACATCGCCGACGATAGCCATGAAGGCGAATATGTCTGCTCAGCAACCAACGAATTTGGCACAGGAGTCGCGGAACCCGTTCAACTTGTCGTCACTGACGGTAAGCACACGTCTTCAATTAGTTTGCTTTCCAGAGTATGTTGCAGTAATACTGGACCAACTTCATGTTCACTACTTATGTAGGCACTAGTTGCCCACTCGTGAATATTCACGCCCCTTTGAACGATTTTTTTCAGCTGTAGCTGATCCATTCTAGGAGAGGTAGAGCGCGTCCACTGTTTTTCTTCTGCTGATTTCCTTACACTAGTTCCTTTACTCTCTTACTATGGCCTTCGCTTTGCCCTCGCGATTATTGTGATCTCCAGAGCACGAATATTGCAGCCGCTTCAAGGGCAAGCTGTACAGATACCTCCGAGGACTGTCCTTTCCACGGCGAGATGGATGTGTCTGTAGCTGCAGCAGCGTGCCCGCTTCTTCACTCAAAAATGCACGGGAACAGGGCTTAGGCGTATAAAACCCGTTCTGGTTACCGCTCCCAGACCCCCACCCGTGCCCTCCCTGCGGTGTAGCCCTTCCGTCGAATAGCAAGATTCCGTAGTGAAACACGCAGTCAGGTAGAGAAGAACCAGAAGTGAGTGGGCGCATACAAGTGGCGCGCCTTGTCATGGATTGGCGTGTGGCTGAAGACAGCACGTTGGTACCACTACCTTCCTTTCCCGTTCGTGCGCACTTTTTAGCGGAGAGCGTGGCACGCAGTGCAGCTACAGACCCGTTCACTTCGCACGCAAGGACCAGAATTTAAAGGTGGGTGCGCAGTTTGTCTTCAAGCGAGAATGCCCAGCGCCCATTCCAGGCGCCAGCGTCACAGACCAATTCTGGCACTGGCTCCAATAGCGCACATAGCTCGTTTTCACGAAAACAAGCTCAGAAGGTCAAGCTATCCCGAGGACAAAAGTTCAGCCATCTCTACTTCAGGAGGAAATTCGATCAAAAATCTGGAGTGAATATCCAGGAGTGAGAAAATGTAGGGCAGTCGAGGGTGAATAGCGCCTTCAGGATCTTCTACAAATGGGCTGAATAGCTTTCGGTTAAAGTTTCTCTTGCAGATGAACACGCGTCCAACGCGAGAGTAGAACCAAGGGTCTGGAACGGAAAGCCTGGAGACAAGCACCAGTTCAAGTGCCACGTTACGGGAGTTCCTACTCCAAAGGTTTCTACTCAAGACCATTCATAATTCAAACTGTGATCCATATTTCAGGACCCTAAAAGCCTTACTATACAATTCTTCAGGTGACATGGTCTGGCCCTAACAACTCACCCCTTCCTCATGATGTAACCGAGCTGGAAGGGCAATATTCTGGACTTTGCTAATGGACGTACGGAACTCAACGGCGATTACACTTGTACTGCTACAAACCCTGTTGGAGAGGTAGGTTCTGCATACACAACAGCAACAGCTTCCCAGCGCTATTATGAAACTTCTTTCAGGCTTCTGACTATGGCTCAGTCAATAATGTGGACCTTCACTACCCGGTTAAAACCTACTCCCGCTGCCGTCCACGGACTCATCCTACAGGGTACGGCGAACCGCTGCTTGTGCAATGTGAGGCGTTTGGAGGAGCCTGAAGCCCGAGTTGAGCGGTTGTGTTATTGGGTCGAAATTTCTCTTTATATGGCCTGATTGATACAGGGGGAAGGCTGTAGGACCCTGGACAGGAGGTGGAGACCTTCCCGACGACTACAAACCCGTCACGATCTCAGAACAGTTCATTCGACATCCTGCCATTGGACTCGGCAACGCTGGCGCTTACACGTGCAAGGGATCTAATAGTCACGCTACCGCCACAAAGAACATTTACGTCGAGGGTGAGTCGATTCGTTGGTCCAATCCATAGTGGGTAGGATTCACTCGAGGGATATTTATGCGTTCTCTGGAGAAGTTCATAAGTCAAGTGCGAGAATGAGGTTTTCAGTTGTCGAGCGCATCCCGAAGTGGCCACGGAGTGTCGATGTCTGGCGATCCTCCAGGTGGTCTCGAGCAAGCGCGCCATCAGAACTCATCTGTACAGCCACGGGCAGTTCCCTAGTCGACAGACTTGAATGGGTCAAGGTAAACGTTACTGGATTAGCGTTCTCACTTGTTAAACTCTCTAGATGGCTTCTAATCAGGTGGACGACCAGCTTCCGACCGACGTAGAGGAGCACAACGAACCCGGACCTCTGCACTTCCTACTCTTCAAAGGTTTGTTCTTCTTAGACATATAGCCGCTTTTTCGACAAGTACTTACGCACCAGTTGTTGCGTCTGAGAGATGGCCGACGATATGGTTTTATTTTTGGAAAATTCCAGTGTTACTTTTGAAGTGGGTGGTACCTTTCGCTTTGGTCGCACCTAGCCATTACGTCGAATGAAGAGTGAGCCAATCATGGGACCGGCGTTATTGGGTTCTTACGAACATTCTGGCAGTCATCGCAGTGTATGCTCGGCGTCCACCCATACCACAAGCATATGAATGACCATGTGTAAGGTCAGAATGCTGCTCTGCCAGCAGGCGTGGAATGAGCCCACCCTTGCTTTCTACCCATAAACGGATAGTAAACACAACCAGGGTAGAGATCGCCGCGGCTAGCTCTTTTCCACCGCCTCGCAGCCCGCGGTGTATCGCGACAAAATCAACTGCTAAATAAAGGCCGCTTTGCCCCCTAAAACATTAGTATCCGATCAAACCAGGGTAATTTCTTCCAGAGCGCACCTCCACTCCACTTCACAGTTGATGGGAGTCCATTGTTGGTCTACTGGTGGTCAGGTCTTTTGTTGGACCGGTTGTTGAGTGCCCCAGTCCAACACAGGACACCTGAGCACGCTCAAGTAGAGACGCAGGAGAGTTGGAATTTTTTCCTGCAGAAACTCATATGCTTGGCGAGTACGAATGTCGGGCGGCTAGCCGTAACAACGAAGTTTATTGCGTCAAGTTCCGTTCAGTGATCCACCACTGATGGACACGAGAACGAAGTCAAAGCGTAACAAAGTTTTACTGACTAAAGAGACATCGGCGGTACGTATGATCCTCTGCGATGTCACGCGGCGGCGCTACATGCCAAGTTTACGATAATAGGCGGTGTACTGATTGAAACTATGCGTGAAATTAAGGGCATGGGGCGCTGTTTGGCGACGGGGGCATTTTGCATTTTCGACTTACCCATCGACAGTGTCAATCTAAACGGTTCACGGTTTGCAGCGTATTTACATGATGGCTCGACGGGCTGTACGCTCAGACTTGTAAACCAAGGAACTAGTGAAATCGAGCGAAATTGGCAAAATGCCCCTCTCCGTCAAACTGCTGGCCAGCGGCGTGGTTGAACGTACTCATGGAACCACTCAAATTCTGCCCTACCGAGCGTCGTGCTAGACGGTGAGTAAGCGTTCGCTGAAGGCAGTTGGACACGACGAGTCGGGATTGAAGTACCCCGCTCCCAACCGTTAGCAGCACGGAATTGCGTACCCCTAAGCAGGCGCTCCGAAGTGTCTTTTCCAAAGAAGGTACCCTTATGAGGCCCTATCAAGCTGCAACATACCGACCCGGACGCCACCGCGCCTGCCCGCCCACAAATGGACGACCGTACTGATGCTCGTATTGCTTCATTTGCTAAGTAAAATATGAAGCGAAGGACTGGTATGAAGCGGCTGCGGTGCTGCATGGATATATGAGTACATACGTCCAGCTGTACCTACCGTAGCGGTTATTGCCAGGATGCTTACGGGAAACTCGTCCAAAATTGCTTTCTGAGTCATGGGAGAACGCTTCAGGCTTTTCTTCCAAGTTTTTGACCGATTCACTTCGTTTTTCGCCATTTCCCCCACTATGCAACCTCCTGCTAGCATTTTAGACCGAGTGCCAAATTATCGTGCCATATGCCTTTGAGCAGTGCACGAGGCGTACACCGCGCAATAAACGTACACCGAAATTTTGGATGCATTGTGTGCCGCCGCCTGTCGTTGAGTAATGTGGCAATGCGGCACAGTCGCCACGATGAGCTCCATTTTGCCCACAAATTCTTTCCCTCTGGTCCAAAACTTGGACATTCAGGTCGAGATCGAGCCGCCTCGTGTGCGAATTGTATCGCAAGGAGAGTCCATCGTGCTCAAGTGTGGTGTCGAAGGTAAGTATTCAATTGTGTGGTTGCTAAACTAAGTTCGTTCTCGTCACTAATCTCAAAAGTCCGTGTTTATGCTTTTCTAATGACATTAACCCTTGCTTCAGATCCAAAATCGCGTGTAATTTGGTGGCGTACTGAAAATCTCATTGATGCCTTAATGGTCGGATCAACACAATTCCTTCATCTACACAGTGTTGATGTGTGTGAACGTGGAATCTACTATTGCACCGATGAATCCACTAACTACGGCTATCCTCATTCGGTTAACACTCTCGTCGTTCTCCAGCACTCACTACTCGGTTCCTTTTCTTTGACACCGTATTGGTCTGTACTGGTTACGCTTCGATCGGCCCTCCACAATCACGAAATGCCATCAGAACGGAGGGTCGGTCTTTGCAGTGTAACGTACACTCCACTCTCTTTGAAGGGGTGGGGCAGGCCCGAGTGTGTTTGCATGCGGGCATGAGCGACGCGTTTGATTTAAGAACTGCTTACCCTACGCCAGAATCGGCGAAAGATCGCATCCGCGAAAACATTTTGGTACGTGTCGATAGGGAGGGTGGGCGAGCTGCACAGTCGAATCCGAGGAAATGGCGGGACAAAGTATACGTGGACAATGGTCGGAAGAGTAGCGATTTGTCTATTCTCCCGTTTTGTCGACTCACGCTATCGATACGTCACCCTTTTCGCAAGTGCGTCGGATATTTTGACCCTCCATTCTCCATGTCGGTGCGTGCCCAAACCCTTTTCGCGGATGCGCCGAATTCGCAATCTGCGACTATGATTGGTTGTCAAAACATAGAGCCACTTACTGCGCCTCGCTCCGCCCCTTCGTAGAAATTGGCGACTAACATAATTCATGTCAGTGTGTCGTGTGAAAGATGGAGGCTAACCGTGTCATAACAATTTCAGGATACTAAACACCTTGGTTGAAATGAACTGTCTAAGCTTACTACTGACGTTCCTAACGTTTTGGTTATTCTATTGGCTGGTCCCCTACAGGAATTCCCTGCTCCCTTCTATTGTAGTTTGTCATCTGTGCAAAGCATCATAGGAGAAAGTCTGTTAAGAGCCTAGACCAAAATTCCTCTAGCTTCCTAACCAGGAATAGGCGGACCATCCAGTTTTTGTGCGCTATACTTGAAAAATTTTTTGCTAGTTCGCTCACGATGCTGATACTAACAGATCAGTTTTAGAGAAATTTTGCAAAAATATGCCCCGCCCCTGGACTTTCTTCCAGATCGGAGAGACGACTACCATCCCTCCGCGCTCCCCACACCTCACGCACTCCGTCCCGGAGCGTAAGAGTGGTAAGAGGGAGTGGTACATAATTCCGACCAATTATCAGAGATTGTAGCTCTCCCTGCGCCGCCAGTTTGAGAGACTCTGTAGAATCAACTTCGCTGGGAACACTGGGGCGTCACGGGATGGAGAAGGGCTGGATTTGGCACGGGGCCATCCGTTGTCCACCAATCGTTGAGGCGGGCAAGCGACAAAATTACGAAACACAGGGGTCTGCTCGCCACAAAGCCACGCCCCAACCCGAACAGCTCTTGTGCGACGCGCCGAATTGGAGCAATTTATATAGCGTTTGCTTGCAGCGGCTGGGGAGTGTTTATGGTGGTTTGGCGCGACCCCCCACACCCCCCCCCCCCCCACCTCAGCCCGTTTCCATCAGACGCTGAAGCGCGCACATTTGACGGCTGTGATTGGTGGGAAACGTGCCGCCGCCGCGCCAGACCCACCTCCACTGCACAGGTCCCTGCGTCTGCAGCGACAACAACTATATATACGCGCATGACAGCGAAAACTCAACAACCGGCAAAATTCTACCAGGCCAAGTAGGACCTCCTTCTCAATTGCTAAATACCTCCGGGGTGCTTCCTACAAGAGCTGATGTGCCCTGCTTACTAGGGATTAACGATATGAAACAAACCACAGGCGCCTTGAAGGGTACCGTAACCAGCATTTTCATCCATCCTCTCCATTTTATAGGAAATGAACGTTCATACTTCAGGCCCTATTTGCTTTGCTACGTTATCGACAATTTATTCATTTTCCTAACTTTTTTTCACTAACTTTTTGATTTTTTTCACTAACTGCCTAATGATTCTTATGTTGCGTGACTGACTGGTTACCTAATACCTCGTTCTAACTCTTCGTTTCGCGCGTCGTACTAATCACCCGTTGATCTCAAACAGTTCTCCAGTTTCCGGCCCCCACTGTTATCCCAATTTAGGTGCTAAGAATGGTGCACACTTCGAATGGGCACTATTACGAGGAGGAAACATCGTACGAAAACTTGGCAATGAAGCAACACTTCACATAAAAGGCGCCGATCCATCGAACGATTACGGAGTGTACAGATGTAACGTCGAAGACGATAATGGCGTCGTCATTGGAAGCGCCTATACCGCCGTCAGCGTCGGCTACAGTGGACAGAGCAGTGGGCTATAGTTCTTTTGGGAATGCATTTTCTAAGCACTTACCTCATCATGCATTCCACTTTTACCGCTCGAGGGTAATTACTTGCACTAGTGCAGTAACTTTGTACACCATGCCGTTCCAACTGGATCCCTAAAGTGGGAAGGGTGGGGGCTCACCAGTGGGGACCCGCACTGATTCAAAAGAGCCTTAGATTTATATGAATAGAGAAAGATTTTTCGCGCAGTTTATCGACGGGGGGCATTTTGCTTTCCATAGATGTGTCGACCCATCTAGGTAGCGTTTTCTCGAGTTGACACGTTTTGGGATGGTGGCTAGACGATCCTGCTCCAGCTTTACAAGAGTTCACAAGTTTTACCAAAGTGAGATTTGCAAACCGGAACAAGGGAAGCAGTGATAGTACAAAATGCCCCCCGTCGATAAACAGCGCCCATTTTTCTGAGGATTCAGTTCGTCTCAGAAGTTCTCCTTGAACAGGCTCCTAGGTGTTAGAAATGTCCTTCTCGCATCTTTACTGCAAAGGAAGCGCCCTCATGAAACCTGGTTATCCGTCAATCCCAACTACCGCAATGATTCTGTCTTTTGAAGGACGAGTTGACGTTGCAATGGGATCGGTAATTGCAGATAGTAAATGATGAGAAAGTGGTTAAAGTACCAAGATAAGGGGATTGAGGAGGGATCGGTGTAATATCATGAAGCAAAAACACGTCCGAGCGCTCTTCTCTGCTTTCTAGATAATCGTAAGCCGCAAAATAGTAGGTTCGTTTACGACAATGCCGTTTTGCTTCTCTCGTCACTGGCAGATCTCTTAGCCCATCGAATTCAATATCTAGAGCCACACCTTATGCGTGAGCTATCGATGAGTGTGACGTTACGTTTAAAATGGCAAAGCAATCACCCGTATGGAGAAGAAGAATTTTTTATAGCGGCTAGTATCGCCAATTCACCGAAGTACAGTAGGAGTCTGTAGTCTCTGCATTAGTGCTTCTTGCTCACAGTTCCTCTTTCCGCTCCCAAAAGCATGGAATTGAGAATGATCTCGCGTTTAAGCATACATCATCAGCCGAATTTACAAATTCACGATGACTCAACTAAGTTTCCAGTTTCTCAAAAATCAAAGCTGCTTCCTATTGTACAGTTCAATTCATCTTATACGCCTCATATCCGGAGCAACAAGAGCCATGACAGCGAGGGGTGATAATCTAGATGAGACAGAAGCGGTGTGTGCAGTCATGAGATAGGACGTGGCGACGGGGCGTGGATCGGAGCGCAGCCGAGCCTTTCAAGCTAATTGTTGTGAACGCAGGATGTCATCGTTGGTGGGAAAGGCTCTCTGTAACGTTCCAGTCCACGCCCTGTCACACACCTCATCGTTTGCTGGGATCATGACTGAAGGTATAAACAAAGCGAGTGGGCACGGGGCGTGGCCGTCGCCGAAACACCCCTTTCGGCCGTCTGATATGGATGATAGCTTCGCTCTTGGTTTCAAAAAGTACCCTCATATGCGCAGTTCACTCTACACACTGACATTAGAACTTCAAGCTACTCAGATGCTTGGAAATCACCCCTCCTTCTATTCAGATGCTCAAGTGGTCAAATTCGACGAAAAGTCCGATGCTTCTTTCACCTGTCCGATCTACTCCGTTCCCGGATCTAAGGTAGTTGGATGCTGGCGGCTACGTATACCATACTTGGCAAGAATGATAACTTTTTGCAGGTCGAGTGGTCCCGAGTGGATGGCGATCTCCCACCCAACGCAGTTCCCAACGGAAACAGACTTGAGTAAGTCCTTTTGAGCATTGTGATTTCTGCGACTTTTGAAAAAATTATGCTCATAATTTGATAACTGCTATGATCACAACCGCATGGAAGAAGATAGGAATTCGAGTCCCGTCTGGTCTGACTTTTGCCGTAGCTCAGCACT